ACATATCTAATTCGCTCTACTATCGTTTTGCACCATTCGAATATTCGATTCGGGACGTCTAACCAAGTTTTTGAACAAATATTTTAGTGGACAATCGATGAGATCCACTTAAAATGAAGGCAACTATCATTTAACCTCAATTTATAGGACAGACATTGTTGGATGACCAAGTTACTGTGATTCGCGTACGTATGGTGCAATAGTTCGGAACAAGTTAAACACTGTGCAAATTTAGAACATTATAATATGTCAGAAATGCATCGTCAAGAATGCTTTGTAAACCAATTCAATTCATGTTACACCTGTTTCAAGTGTATAATTATACTTATCGTTTAAAGTGTTGTTCTGTGACTTAAAATGGAAGATGTTAAGACTAAGTGAATATGGGGTAAATAATAATTAACATACCTAGTAAAACACTATCTTCTTTAGTCTCTTTTAAACTATACCACTTTTCTCACAATTTTTAGATTCTTTCTACATCCCAATCCCCCAGTTTAAATTAAGAATAGCTACAGACCTATTCAATCACCATTTTTAATCAGACCGATAATATTCCTATTATGATTCAAGTCTTTCGCTTTCTTTTCTCAAAATATTTACACGTTCGTTATTGCTACATCTTCAACTCCAATGTCATGTTTTGACCACCATTCAGCAGTCGATGTTTTTTAAAGTTTGAACTGGGAGTAGAACAAATTTATTTTAGAAAGAATCAACACGAATTGTATTTGCTTAAAGTCGAACTGAAAACATACTGTCAAGTTGTAAAAAACTTTACTTCAACTTGAAACTGTATATTCATGCTTTTGTGGTGAATTACGTCACACAATGCTGCCTCTAGTCTTACAGTATGTTGTATGAATATCATGACAAATGATAAGAATAGCAGATATATACTAGTTAAGTTGAAATACTGTGTATTGATCCACTTCACAAAAAAGAGGGACAACTCCAATCCAGCATTTATAATTCAGGTCATAATAATATATTAAATTGCTTCGTCTTCTTGTGGAAACAGTCGTGCGTTGAATTGTCTGGTTTCATAAAAAAGCTTTTGGCATGCATTTTTTCCTGCCTTATTTACCCTGTTGAAATCAAACGTTATGATTCCCCAATGAGAGGTTACTTATTTTACCATGAATATATCTTGAAATGCGAACATTTATATTTTAAGGTATAAAATATCTGTGTCGGTCAGGTGGATATTAAAATTAATGATTTTTGTCCGACTGCTTTAAAAGATTTGAGTCTCTGGATTTTCTGAATACTTTGAAACACATTGAGTCAATTAATCATCCTTACGGTTAACATTGAAAATATCATACAAAGCCTTGAATCTCCTGAATGATGAACATTGACAGTTATTATCATTAATAAGTTTCGTAGGGCCATTTCCCTTTAACTTTAATTGACCTATAGTTATTTCCCTTCCCATAATGTTTCACTTTAATACTGTAATTGACCTACTTTAATCATTATAAGTACGTTCTGTTCTCTTTCCATTATGTTTTTACGTTAACTTTTTCTCCATGTTCAGCTCATTATTTACTGGAGCTGATTCCTTCAAATAAAGGCTACAATATAGGCAGTGAAAGGCCTCTTCAGGCTCACTTATGCCTTGCATGCAGAGGCGTAGTGAATGAGGAAACTTATGGCTTGATCCAGAAAGAAAAAAGATCCATAATTTACAGGGGATGGATTCCGCCATTTTGTCTATGGTAGGTAGGTAGGTAGATGACAAGTTAACGTTCGCTTCCAGCAGATGCTGATATCGCAACTAAGTAGTTGATATTGTCTATCAAAAATCCCGCCTTTTATCGCACTAAATATATTTTCCGAAAAGAACAATTAAGGTTATTACCTCCCTTGTTCCACATACAGACAACAAAACGCGTGTACGAGAGCAACTTGGGTACAAAATACTCATGCCATCATCAATACACTTCTGGTATGATATTTACAAGTGAATCTATCCAATGTTTTAAGAAGTTGGTTAGATATCAACATGGTCAAAAAATTCGATCTTGTGTTTCATGGATCCAGAAAAATATACAGTCAAGTAACCTTATTTCGTGGAAACCTATTATTCGTGGATTTCCGGAAATGATTAATAATTTACATTTGTTACCTTGCGCGACCTCCGCATTAGTTTGTTTTGATAAACATGGGTTTTCTCTACAATATCAGCTAGTAGAATAAATTCAGTAGTTTCAATCAAGGTAAAATGTATTAATGACAATTTTGACAAATACAAAATGGCGGATTTCACTTATTACCAAACGTCACCATTTTTTATCGGCCGAATTTCCTTATAATCCCAAGCGGTAATCGGAATTCCAAGTGTCGTCTGCTAGAATGTAGTCCAACGAATGAAGTCACGTGATCAACTAGCGGATTCCGTATCAGCAGAAAATTTCTATGGAACACAAAGTGGACCATATTCTTATGTTGTTTCAGTGACTTTTAGCAATAAATCACGCTACGTATCTTATTTTGTCAGTCACTATATTTTTTTAAAATCGTGGTTCTTTGAAGGAATTGTCACTAGTTATAATGAATTGATATTAAAGATAAATACTAAGAGAAGTTAATTATACCACCCGGTATCCATACAACGTGTTATTCTAGACTTATTTATAGATCAAACATTGTACACGAAAATAGGTGATGCATTCTGCCGCCGTTGCCGAGTTGGTTGCTCATGAAATATGGGTCAAAGGGAAGGATTCATAAAGAAAATCGAAATAAACCAATTTTAATTATTTTGTAGAATATCTGAGGAAACATCTAAGACATTTTTTTTTCGTTTTTTTGACTTTGACGGAATTCGGTGTTGAATCCTTATATCCACGAAAATAGGTTACACCACTGTAATTGTTTCGTCCGAATGCATCCTCTACATATGTCCTCATTTTCCGTTCAACTGAGGATGCATCTTCGCGGTGTCAAGCTATTACGAAGCCGAAGATCGTTATAGGTTGGCATTGTGAAGATACTGAAGATCACGTAGATGATTGGAAAGTATTTCTACATGCTTCAAAGGTGAGGTTCGGTGCCTCGAATATCACGTGTTCTTTTAATCTTCTCACGCACAAACAGAGTTTAATTCATGTCTAAAAGAGATAAGATTGATAAAGTTTTCATAATAAAAGAAAATATAAGATAGATTAAGTAACATATGCTTCTTGGAGTTGGGAAGTTGCAAATAATCGCATATTCGAGGTAAAATTGATTGTATTTTAATCCTATAGCTTGTAGAACACAATTTACATGTTTTGTCTTTAGTTGGTTACTACATATTCCATGCTTTACATCAGATAGTGCACCCAAACTGGTCAAAAGCATGTTTTTGTCGCATTTTTTTTTACAAATATACCTTATGTAGCTGTAGGAATATTGAAAGCGGCTTTGAATTCCATGAAATGACAGGAACCATTGTCGAATGAGAAATCTGAATACTGGACATAGAGCATTGTGTCCCCGATACACATAGGTTTTATATATCAAAGGAAGCCTTTTCTTACAAGAAACTGTTTTCATGGAAGCATCTGAAGGGTTTTCTGTTGGTTATTTTGCCATGGAATCAATATCTGCACAACTGGGACTTACACTGAGCTAGATGTTTCGATTGTTCTTATATATCAACTCATAAGATTTTTTTTTTATTTATGACATCTATATACTATCTACATCCAAGGTCGAGATTATTTCATTTAAACTTTAATTTGTTCACGTGCTGAGTTCGTGATTCGGTCAACTATTTCGTCATAATGATTAACGATACTCTGAAGAAGAAGCTGTGTGGAAACTGGAAATCATCTTCACGTGAGCGAAGCTCTTGAAACTATAGGGTTACCTTAAAAGCTACGTCTTTTCCCTTTTTCAGATGTTAAAGCAAATTTCGATTGTTATTCTGCTACTTTCACTCTCAGCGAACGGTAACCCAACTGGAAAACCTGAAATCACCCGACCAAGTTTCTTAGCTGAGTTTATGGATATGTTGATGTATCCTGATAGACCAATGCCTCGTATTATGACCATGTGTTCGAATCCTTCTTGTCTTCGAACTATTGCAGAATACGAGAAGTTTTTAAAAGAACATCATTTTGGTGTACAGCGTTTTCCAGTGTAGTATGCTGTCATAAGTGGACCTGAGTGAAATCTTGTGAAAACTTTTACCAGAAGAGATTTGATTAAAAGGCAATTAAAACAGGATTATTTACACTAATATGCATTCACGGCAGACGACAAAGTATTGGCACCACCACCATCGATGGTGAAGCAATAGTTTTAAATGAGCCATTATCTGCCATGAACACCATGTCCTTTTTACAATGCCAAGATAATATAATCTTGCAGAGAAGAAATATATCCTGATTTTAAAACTGTAATAGAGGTGGGGGAGGGGGTTATTCCCTGACCAAGATAGCTACGAAAATACATGAAAAACGTCTTTTAAAATTACGAACTTCAAAGCTTCTGTAGTCATGGTTCTGTCAACACCCTCCACTCCCAGATTATCCGTCCCAAATTACCATCTGGCGAATTTTTTGCACCGTGCAAATGGTTCAAGTTGTATCAGTATTTACTAGATACGAAATACACGTTTATCTGGCTCTAACAAGTACTTGTTAATTTATTGCATTCATCCCAATCGAAGGGTCCAAGTCCAAACTCATAAATTACAGTAGCAATTACCACACCTACTTTTTAATATTGTAATAGTAAAGTATTGGTCATATCCCAAGATTGTTGAACATAAATAATGCTTTATCGTATGAATTGAATTCAGAATATATTACCTCAGTTGAGAATTCAAGAGACATAAAAGACAGGTAAGTTCGATGGTTTTGTTGCTACTACAACACGTTTCTTTCAATGACTCTTGAATCATCAATACAATATGTTTTCTCTTATACCTTCATCAAATCTATGAGGATCAGATGTCATTTCGTCTGTAGCATTAAAAAATATGTGGTTCACTCTTTTTAGGTAAAATGGATTCGAAATATTTTATATGGTGTTATTCGCTCTACTTGCTGATATACTTGACGAGCTTGTGTCCTAAACTATCTGGAAAACATGTGTACAGGAGGCCTGAAGATAATTATGGTAATGAGGAACCAAGATACGTTGGTCAAGAAGCAATTAAAACATTAGTGGTTCACGAACTGTTTGAACGATCAATTATGGATTCAGAATCAAAAGAAGAAACTACAAAGAAGCCTTTGATGGCAAGGATAGGGACATTTTGTGAAACACAGGAATGTGTTGAAAAGATGTCGGAATATGAAAAGTTTTTAAAAGACCATGATTATGGAGTTATATCTGGTAGATTAGGTTGAATCAACTATGATTTGAACTGTGATTCCGAGCTATAGATTTGTTTACGCTTCAAAATATTCTTTTGTCATTTTGCAGCATTTAAAATCGAAGCCTAAAAGATTTACTGCAATCTATTTTGTAACTTATTGATACATTAATATATTTTGAAATAGGTAATGTATGTATTTGTAATTTGACTAAAAGACTGCCGAGCAACATTAAATGGTAAATTTATAAATAATAATCAAAAGTGATGATATATTTGGATTTGTTTTTTAAATTGAGAAATACACCTGAAAAGCACTTTTTCTTGCTATAAAACTAAATAAATGGCCGTGTATTCAAATATATTCAAAATTACAATTATATCAAGTCAAAAACTAAAAGAAGGGTATACAAAACACCAATCCTTGGTTTTGTTAAAATTTTCTTTTGAAGCATTATCAACATATGATTGTCAATGGCGAGAACAATTTACAATATAATGCTATCACTTTACTTCGTCTTATACCTTTACTGCAATAGCTACGTTCCTTTATCACAGAATGCAGACTGATTTACTCTATTTGCTAAAGTAAAATCGAATCAAATGGCTGCATTTACAAAATTCCGTGTTACAAGAAAGATGAATATTGTAGTCTAGGTATAAGCTTGACATTGTGAACGTGTGGTAAGTGTCGTATTTTTAACATTTCAGTACAGTTCGATGAACAACTTTTATCCTTAAAAAAGTTTATCATGCTTCCTAACGTGTGTTTCCTAATCTTAAAATAAAGGAGGCTAGTCAATAATCTGGCATAAAACTACACAAACCACTTTCTAAATGTCACAATGCGAACTGCGGAGAAACTACAAACCATGACCACGGTTCCTAGCTGTTTCTTGTCAACCTTAGTAATTTACGGATCCATCTCCATATGCTTCAATGTTAAGAGACAATTTAAAGCGATACGTGTGACAATAAAATTAGACCAAACCCAGCATTTTGTTCACAAGGTTTTAGACTATATACTTTTTTATTGACAACTAGGGAATATTGATGGACGGTTTTAAAAAGTCAGATAACAAGAACCAGAAACTCAACAGCAGAAACAGCATAATCACAACACTCTGTATCCAATAGAATATTCACATTTAATTTGATTGAGAAAATCACACATATTGATATTTCTAACAATTATAATTCCTTTCATCCGAATGTCAGTTTACAAGTGTCACATAATTAACCCCATCTACCACTTCCTGGTTTGGATTCCTCATGTCTAGACTCCTTCCAAGATGCAAACTTTGCCATTAAGTCCATACAAGCTTTTGTCTCGCACACTGAAGTAATATCTTCTTCGATCTCCTCTGGAATTTGTTCAAGTGGCAATTCCGATAAATTATCTGGTAGCTCTGAGAGATCTGGTAGTTCTATTGGAACTGTCTCCTCCGTTTCTTCTATTGGAAGATATGGCATCTCTGGATATTCCTCATAACCCTTAAGAGTATCAGTAAGTTCGTCCAGTATAGGATCCTCAACACGAAAATACTGCGGACTAACCAGTGTGTGAGTTTCTGAATGACCTTCAGGTTCAGTTGTGATCATTACGTGGTCAAGTGATCCAATCCGTGCACCAGCAACGCATGTTGAAATGCTGGTCAATAACAAGAGATATCCGGCGAAACAAAACATGTTTACTGTCTTGACAATAATAAAATTACACGTGAAATGTTGAATAGTTCGAATCTTATCATTCGCTTCAATCAAAATATAATTTGTGATAACCTACATAAACCAGTAGATTAGGACAAAGACGGATCAAACAGGAGGAGAGACATTGTTCATCAAATATTGCGAAGTAGACTAGATAGGAAGATAAAACCGAAAGTGCAAATGATAAGGTCCTTATGTCCCACTTAAAGCGAAATGATGCTGATAAAAAGGTTGTCCTTGGGTGTTTCCTTCTTCTCTATATTATCTATATGGTTTGATGAAACCGGTGGTAAATCGAAATATTTCAAAGAATGAGAATCACGCAATAACAGATAAAACCCACAACATAGCAAAGCTTATAATAAAAACTATACTTACAGTGTTGCCTTATGTAGACATATCAGAACCTCCCGCTGTTATCAATAAAAAGGTGGGACTTACCAATTTTTAAGTTAATTACCTCAGGAAATTATTTCCCGGGGGTGTGGGAATTACGTTAATACTGTTTTTAGTCTTTTGTACATGGGTAAATCCAGTGTATATTATAAAATTCAGTGTTAATTGGAAAATTCAGATTGAATCTAGTATACATTTATAAGGGGTATTTCAGATTGTATCAAGTATAAATGATATTTCAGATTGTATCAAGTATAAATGATATTTCAGATTGTATCAAGTATAAAGGATATTTCGGATTGTATCAAGTATAAAGGATATTTCAGATTGTATCAAGTATAATAAAGGATATTTCAGATTGTATCAAGTATAAAGGATATTTCAGATTGTACCAAGTATAATAAGGGATATTTCAGATTGTATTTAGTATAAAGGATATTTCAGATTGTATTCAGTATAAAGGATATTTCAGATTGTAATAAGTATAGAGGATATTTCAGATTGCATGAAGTATGAAGGATATTTCATATTTTATCAAGTATAAAGGATATTTCAGATTGTATCAAGTATAATAAAGTATATTTCAGATTGTATCAAGTATAAAGGATATTTCAGATTGGATCAAGTACAAAGGATATTTCAGATTGGATCAAGTAAAATAAGGGATATTTCAGATTGTATCAAGTATAAAGGATATTTCAGATTGTATCAAGTAAAAAGGATATTTCAGATTGTATCAAGTATAAAGGATATTTCAGATTGTACCAAGTATAATAAGGGATATTTCAGATTTTATAAAGTATAAAGGATATTTCAGATTGTATTTCGTATAAAAGATATTTCAGATTGTAATAAGTATAGATGATATTTCAGATTGTTATAAGTATAAAGGATATTTCAGATTTTATCAAGTATAAAGGATATTTCAGATTGTATCAATTATAATAAAGTATATTTCAGATTGGATCAAGTACAAAGGATATTTCAGATTGGATCAAGTATAATAAGGGATATTTCAGATTTTATAAAGTATAAAGGATATTTCAGATTGTATTTAGTATAAAGGATATTTCAGATTGTACCAAGTATAATAAGGGATATTTCAGATTGTATTTAGTATAAAGGATATTTCAGATTGTATTTAGTATAAAGGATATTTCAGATTGTACCAAGTATAATAAAGGATATTTCAGATTGTACCAAGTATAATAAAGGATATTTCAGATTGTATTTAGTACAAAGGATATTTCAGATTGTAATAAGTATAGAGGATATTTCAGATTGTACCAAGTATAATAAAGGATATTTCAGATTGTAATAAGTATAGAGGATATTTCAGATTGCATGAAGTATAAAGGATATTTCAGATTTTATCAAATACAAAGGATATTTCAGATTTTATCAAGTATAAAGGATATTTCAGATTTTATCAGGTATAAAGGATATTTCAGATTGTATGAAGTATAAAGGATATTTCAGATTGTATGAAGTATAAGGGATATTTCAGATTGTATGAAGTATAAAGGATATTTCAAATTGTATGAAGTATAAAGGATATTTCAGATTTTTATCAGGTATAAAGGATACTTCAGATTGTATCAAGTATAAATGAGATATTTCAGATTGTATTAAGTATATTATATTAGTCCGTGGGTCTCACCTGGCACCACCCCCACCACAGACCGAAACTATATTTTTCTGAAACCTCAAAATATACTCTTTTAGAATATACATGTTAACATTGGATAAACTCGGACTCATTAAAAAGAAATGGTTGAAGGTAGGTACTTGAGTTTATCCATTTTTAGATTAGAGGTATCTGGAAAAGCTAGTTGGTTTTAGGGTTTTTTTTTTTAGATAAACAATATTTCATTGACATTAATATGAAGATATATAGCCCCTATTGTTTTTAATGTATAGTCCCGAATTAAAGTTCGAAAGGGAAAGTTCGAAAGTTCATTAATACACATTAGAACAACAGGCGAGGTGGCTTAATATAACTCTTAAGAAATATCTACCCCCAATTAAGATACAACCTTAAGATTAGAGACCAAACGTGATACATATTCCTAGATATAACTAAATAAATATTATTGGAAACACGTCGAAACGTTGCATAAAACTTTAACCAGTGATTGTTGTTCCATAAAGCTGTGTCTATATAAAATATTATTGTTGTGAATCAAAACTGTATCAATATATTATTTACTTTATCAATTGCATATTAACAACTCAAATATTAGGTCTCCTACAGTTTTATTTGACTGATATGTTCTGTGAAATATGGAATGTGAACTTTACTTATTATTATTACTAAGTATGAATTAATGGTAATTTAGACTACGTTAAACTAATCTGATAGGGCTAATTGAGATGTGTTCTTGATTGCAGAGCATAGTGAAGCAAAGTAAACAGAGAATTCCAAGAAAAAAAGCAATTTGGACAATGAAATTCGTGAATTTACTCGCCTCGAAAGAGTCTCCAGATTTTTTTTGTCCCCTATCTCAGATTTTTTCACGACTTCCCAGATTTCCATTCCTGACCTGTACACATGTATGAAATGGCAAAATAAAAATGTCATCCTGTTTAATTTCCAACTTTTAAAGAATCAAATTCATCAAATGTCATGATTATTGGACCTATGAAAAGGAAACCTTTGCTTTAAAACACATTAGAATAATAATATCACAATAACACCAGTTGTTTCAACAAAAACAATTTATTAAAATTCTCCAAATATTTGCTTGTAATTTTGATAGCAACTTACAATAATTAAAAGCTTATTATATATCACAAAGAGAGTCTACAAGATAATAATAATAATCATAATAATAATAATAATAACTTTAATAATAATTAATTAAAATTACACTTATTGAAGAATAATAATAAAACATGAAGAAAACTTTAAAAAAGATATGCCCGCATAATCTTAATCAAAGTTGAGAAAACATTAATGTTTACACCTTATTTTGACCATAATAACATGCACAAATTTTTAATTGAGCATTAGTTAATATTCTTAAAGTCATATAAAAAAAAAGAACGAGCTTAAGAAATGTGTCTAACTCCCTATTTGTTGAGGGACCACCTGAATTATAGCTATCTAGATTGCAAGCTGGAAATCTGATCTAAAAAGCTACAAGTTTAAATATATCTACAAAATACTGTCCCTGCCTTTAGTTCAACAATTCTGTACATTAGGCGATACACTTTATACAAGTAATGCAGTAGACTACAGGGTCTAATTATTTAGCATGCTACTATAACATTTAACATAAAAATAAAATGTGGTTTATAAACCAAGGTAATTATTGACTATATAGAATTAAATAAGTAAGAAAGTGATTATTTACTATTTGCTAGTGTATATTAATGTATTTAATGTCCTATTGAAATGATTTTGACTGACTGAAGTCATGATAAATAAATATTGAACTCTGAGATTCTAAACAAGAGATAAAGAACTAGTACCTAATTTAACAGTGAATCTACAGGAGTATTTATATAAGTGCCGTGTTGTGCCCACTATAATAATAATGAAATAATAATAGATTAATAATAGATTAATAATAATGGTGTGAAGTGTGAAGTTTACAGTGTGTGGTTTATATCGAATATCAAGGGTTGTTTAAAAATTTTGGGCGGCATCTTGAATTTTCAATATTGCAATGAACTCCTTAAAAATAGCTAAAGCACACAGGTTTCAGAAATGATACGTGACCATTTCTAAAGGACAAGTCAATATTAGGCAGTGTTGACACTCCAAAAAGATTTCACTAAAATGAAGAAATCTCAACCAAATAAAACCTTTAAGGAATATAACTCTGCAATAAAATGACAATTTATACTTAACATTAAAATAAATAAAATGTATCATGATATATGAATATATATATGAAAACTTTCATTTCTATACTAGAGCTGATGGTTTTCTTTACCATATTTGCCAAACTCGTCTGAGTGAAGCTCCAAAATATCCAGTTATTAGAATATGGCTTGTAAACAATTCCATCAAAACAAGTTTTACTTTAAAATTTTGCAAAATTTGCTCCATTCACATCCTAAAAATTCTGAATTTCCTTCAACTGCCCAAGATATTTTATATTATGATACTATATCAAAATCTGTTTAAATAAAGATAATGTTATAAGATTGGGTTGATACAAGATAAAACTAGTATGCTATATTTACTGGAAGAAAAATTATACTTATTTTAGCTGCCATGTAACAATAATTGTACATAGTTTATAAAAAATGGTAAGAAATCTAAGAATTCTATTTTTTCACTCTGAATTTTAAAAAAAAGACTCTCTTTGGAAGATTTTAGCACAGTTAAATTCTAAATTCTGCAAACTGTTATTAAAACAGCTAATATGGACAATTCCTATTAATAGCCTTTGGAAAATTCTAGTTAAAAAAACTTTTGTTAATGGTAATTATTTTTAAATCTGCAGATGCCTTATGAAAGACCTCAAAAAAAAATTGCTGTAGATAAAACATGACTATTATTATTAAAGAAATTATAATGAGAATGGCACAGTTAACTAATGTACTAGCTTGAAATAGTTTGGTATGATAGTAAGCACCGGTCATAATAAACTACTAACTACTATTAATACTATCTGTAGAGCAACAGACTGGAGATTACATCAAGCAGATCTTAAATAATGGAATAATGAGAATATTATATTTTTTGCAAATTGTCTGAGATATAAGTTAATATATTGAAATTGATTGAATCATAAATTATAAAAATTGTACAATATTTTGACTACAAGAAACTGAACTCAATGAGAAATCCTAAAATTATATTGTAAATCTCATTATCATATTATACAAGATGATGTATAAGAAGGGACTACCTAACAAGCCTAATTTGTGGTTCTTAGATCATTAATGAATACAAAAAATCCAATGGGAATATTCCTTTGGTGTGATATAATTATACATACATATATATAATGTTTATAATATATTCCTGTCATAGAAATGGATAAAATAATATAACATTCAATAAGCTATATAGGATCTAAAATGAATAAAAAAAATGTATTGGAGATAGTACAAATGGGAAATTTGAAATATCTAAAATGAACATTAAAAGGCTATTAGAACAATATAATTATGTATGAGGTTAAAAGGAAAAGAGACAACACTCTAAGTTTGTATTGCTATATAAATAATATTGACAAAATGAAATAAACAACAATAAGAAATGATGGGGGTAAATAATGGATGGAGATGAAAATATAAAGATATATAGGATAGAAAACCTAACCGCACACTACTTGTTAAGGAGAGGTGTAATACTTTCTGCTTCTTATCATACATTATATAGTTTATATTACAGTAGTTTAACACTGAATTGTACTGTCCTATACCAACACTATACTTTACTGTCTTAAACCATTCACATCATTTAGTTTTACCACGTCATGTTATACAGTAATCTAAAATAACTTCAATATAGTTATCCCAATTAACTTAATGCATTTATTCTAAATAACTTTTATGTAGTTATCCCACTTCGAAGAATAAGAATAACTTTATGCAGTTATCAAAATAAATCTTATGCAATTCTTAAGATAATTATTTGCTGTTATCCCAAATAACTATAATAATGAGGTTATCCAACATAACTTATCACACTATAGGCTTATATAACATTTTCCATAACATTGTCCTTTGAGATTCTCTTGAGTAACTCTTGATGGATCTGTGACATTTCAAAATTCAAATACCTCACTATCTGAGAAGTTTGTTTATTTTCACAGTTCTACATCTACCACACTCTCTCCTATAGTTTTCATCCATTCATTTTTTCACACCATTTTTCAGATTTTTATTATAAAAAAGTCTTGGCTTAGCAAAATCTTTTGATTAAATTGCAAAATGAGAAAGGAAAAAAGAATGTTGTATGTTTTTTTATTTTAACATCAAGATTATCTGAAATAAAAAATGTAAACATAACATCCTCTGTGTCATCTAAAACAAATACAGCAAGTTTCTTACTTTTATTTCCTATGGGCTTTTACACTTTTGGGCAGTATTATGTACAACTCAAACATTCAAGATATGACAGACAGATAAACATTGTAATCCAACTTGATTTAAAGCATGAACAAATTCCATTCTGAGTTGTGTTTTAATCAGGTTATCACTAGCACAAAAATTACTACATGAAGATATCAAACATTTTATGAATATCTATAGTATTATAAGAGTTGGTAAAATACATCGTAAAATACAAATACTCACAATTATTTCTTAAAAATTTTAAAAAGTTTGGATTTTTTACTGGAAGGAGGAGCCACTAACATTGGCACTTGGTTCTTATGGGTAATATATATCTGAAAAGGAGAAACGAGAGACTAGATTATACTTCACTTCACTTTGAGCAACAATCATTTACATTCTAAGGAATCTTCTAATAAGGGAAAAAATAATTGCAAAAGTTACTACTCAAAACCCAGTGACTTTATCAAATTGAGTAAAGATTCTTACCGTACAAGGTGGTTGCATCCACGGTTCTCCATCAATTTGCATTGGAAACCTTTTACGTGTCCTGTAAATACAAACAGATTCAATAATCATTACAATATTTATCTTTTATAATATCTTACTAGAATTATAAAATTCTCAAAACAAGGCAGTTTGATATTAACTGTCATCCTGTTACAAAAAAAAACATCATGCAATACAAGCAACAATTGTTTCTTTATTGATTTGCTTTAATAGACATTGATAAATGTAATATATTCATGAACTTACCTAATTACAACCTGAGAACATTGTGCTAAACGCCTGCCTGAAGCCCGAAGTCCAGCGTAAACTTGTCCAACATGCATACTACTATCAATACCTACAACTTCTATCAATTTATCTCCCACATCTACAAAATACAATAATAAATATATACAATGTATAAATAAAGTAACTTCTGAATAGGTTGTTACCACTTGAAACTTAGTAATTTCCTTTCCTCAGAGGGAACAAAGAATTTTCAATTGGAATAGCCGATAATATCATGAAGAAATATTTTGACAATAGTTTATAAAGTAAATATAAGTTTAAATCTCTACCTTGCACAGCTATTGCTAATTCTGCTGAAGACATACTACTAGTTGAAAATTCTTTCTCTTTTTCTTTCTTGGCTTTTTGAGCTTTTCGTCTTTTTTTCTGACTGGGGTTATCTCCCCATAAATTAGTTCCACCATAAATACTTGGTATATTTAATAAGGCTATACCTTCTAATCTTGGACCATTGGATAAATCTAATGATACACCATCACACTGTAATAAGAGTCATTAATAATGATAAAAATAAAAATGGGATATTCGTAAATACTTGCTATTTCACCTTGCTCAATATCAGCTAACACTTTTTAGAACTAAAACCTGATTCCAGTTCTTCTACAATTCAAGCAAAATATAAAGATTACTCTATCCCTCAATCTATAAATATCAAGTTACAGATAAACTAAGAAAAATTACCAATCCATACAATTACATATCAAATTAAAAGTAAGGCTGGGTAGAGGATTAAGAAATTTATTTCAAATAAAAAGATACTCACCATTATATCTATTTCTTCATGTAAATGTTTACAGGTGGCTGCTAATGTTTCTGATGTACCAAACTCAAAATACCACAACTTGTTCTTCATCCTGGAAATTACAATATATAAATGATATACTTATATACTGTAGTTAAATACATTTATTTTAATACATCAAACAAGATATTACTTTACCAACATACTTTTCTACTCTATTAATATATATTTTTCTAAAAAGATCTTACTTACCGACTGTTAAATTTTTCAGGGTGTTTTTCTCTCATGATGTGAAATCTGTGACAAATTGATGCATCCTGAAAAATAAAATTGATAGGAATTAATAATCATATTATATGATGAAATATAAACCTCTATATAATATCACCATTCCAATCGAGAAGTAATTATTAATTTTATAGTGAAATATAAACTAACCACTCCAATTGAGAAATAATTATTATATATGTAATATATACTTACCACTCCAATTGAGAAGTAATTATCATATATGAAATATATACTTACCACTCCAATTGAGAAGTAATTATTAATTATATTGTATGGTATAGGATCACCCTCTTGATCTTCTGCATCATCAGGTTTACTGAACTCGATCTTCCATCTATCAATCATCACAGCCTGACTATGTTCAATACGCTTTAATATTTTAATCAAATTCTCTCCTTCATAACCTATTGAGAAAAATTTAAAATATA